ATAAACCTTAGACTCGTGTAGCGTATTTTCCTCGAAGTGCGTATTTTGGAATTGAAACGTTTCGTGGACTCCCCCAAGAATCGTTTCTGTGAGCACGAACGACTTGCAGTATTGGTAATCACAGAATTCGATTTCTTCTTCAGTTCTTTGAAGGTAATGGCACACGAAAACTTCTCGCTATACAGAGAACAACCATCCTCTTCTCAACATTCTTCCAAATCCGTAAAGGACCTTAGCACCTCTCCTGGCCACTTGGTTCATGGAGTTTAAATTCCACGGAATATTGCTTCGAGTGTGATCATTCTGCTGGCACCGGCTTCGGTATACTGGTAGTGTGTTCTTTTACACCCTTTACATAGCTTTTCCGAATTACATTTGTCTTTGCATTGTTTTCATTTATGTTTTCAGATGCGGACCTTTTCCGTTTAGCCTCCATTTTATGTTTGTTGAGCACAGCCGCCTAGAGCCAACCTGGAGCCAATGGCGCAGCATCTCGGCAAAGCCGAGAATTTATATGTGAGATTATTTACAACGCTTTTATTAATAGGTGTAAAGGTGAAAGAGTACTTAAAGTATCTTATTCTACCTCAAAATTTCTTGCTTGACTGGCGCAAAGTTGACTTGTCATATATGCAAAGTTGAATGAAGTTCTTCATATTCTGTATTCAAATATACTGAATTTGAAACTTGCCTATTAAATATATATATGGTACATGTGAAATTATTATTTACACTTGAAATAAATTAAAGTTCAAGTAATTCAAGAATAGAATATCTATTTACATAATAGAATTCCATTTTTCGCTCGATAATGTTTCACTATATACGTACTGCTTATTATGACTTGATAACTTTTTCTAGCATTTTCAGGCTTCTATTATTTTATGTTATCTTGTGATATACAAAATTGCTTCTTCCGTACGATACTGTACCATTCTGCTTCGTACTGTACTACTTTGTGTTACCCTCTTTACTAGAATATAAAAATTAAATAAGTTGTGTGAACAAATGTCTAAGTTTTCTGACTTTCTGTATTATTCCTACTTTTATTCTCACCGAACGTTTAATTATTTTGATCAGAACAATATATTGCATTTGAAATTCTCATATGTAAATAACTATTCTATACTTGAATTACTTAAACTTTGATTAATTTTAAATGTAAGAAGATATTTTCGCTTCATACCACTTATATTAATATTTATGTCAAACATAATTTACCTGTCTATTTGAATATTTGCTTTGCTCATTTCTAATACACTTATTCATCACCACTTGCATATTAATATAAAGTAATGGTTTTTTGTTCCAGTTTGTGTATTAATAAAACACTTGTACATAAGGTAATGCTTATTTTATTATCTATTCATATATTTTTGATGGTTACTGATAACCCTTTTAGGCTACTTTAGAAATGAACCAGAAGTTGAAGAAACTTGATTGGACTTGGCATTGTGAGAAACTAAAGTTTTGATTGCAATCAAAGAACTTGTGAAATGGATTTATTTGCGATTCATTTTTCAAAAATTTATCATATCATTAAGCTTTCATCTATATTATTAAATTACAGAAAAAAATAAAATTCATCTGAACAGAAGAAATGTTTAGCAAAACAGATGTTTTTCTCAATTTTAGCTATTTATCCAAGAATGAAAATATAGCGCTGAGTCTGAGGTGATCTATTTCTTTGTTGTTATAAATCAGTACCGAGAATTTCCGAGATTTTCAGTATCATCGTCTGTAATAATAGGTTTCGAGTTGAAATAGGATTTCCTTACTGGCATGACCCACATCATACATTTCGTTTTCAGCTTGTAAAGGTACGGGGCAGAGAAAATTGGAAGGAATGCACAACCTTCGCTTGGGAAACCTCCAGAAATCAGGTTGATAATTCTTTGTAGAACCACAAATTTTTTCCCTCCTCTCACGCACATCCGCACTGATTTAATTGTAGTTCATTCATTTATATAATTTTTATATTTAAATATTTAGCCTTCTTATATGGACATGTTATATTCATGATTTAGGATTCTGAACATTAAATTATTTCAGCATCAGAAACCAAGACACCAGATCGTGAGTTTCATCAGTTCATTGGCGGCCGCATCGTAGAAAAGCCGGATATAAGTACTATTTTAATTTCGTATGCTAGTTACCAGTAGCATGAATTACTACCATAAATTTTACCAAGGTAATTCATAACATCAATATTGCAGTACATTAATATTCTTGTAATAATTAAATTCATGATATGATTTGATAAATAAAAACGATTTCCATCATTTGATAATGATCATTTTGTCATTTAAACCTTTTATTTAGTAAATTGTAATATTAGTGACCATAACAAAATTATTAATGGGTCATTGGTTCTTAACAAAACATTACATCAGTAAATGTTTCTGTCATGAATCCATCTTACTTGATATTTTTTGATGCAAATTCAAAAAGAAAAGCGTATTCATCGTTTTTTTACAAATATTTATATGAAATCAACTGTAATCATCCACATTATGTGAATTATGGCTTGGGATCATGACAAACTGTGATAATAGTATCATTTAAAGTCGCACGTGACTTAGTGATATTAAGATAAAAAGTTACTATTTAAGATTATTATTTCACAAGAAATATTGCAAGCATATAGACCCCCTACTTGGTTTATCATTCCAAGTATAAGCAGGTCAACATTCCCCGAGACTATTTTCCGCGTCGACTTTGTCTGGAGTATCTCATGAGTGTATTTTTCTCGACTAGATGCCAAATATCTTGATACGCTTCGCTGTCTCCTCCAAAAACCGTTTTATGAGAATGAACGACTTGCAATACTGATGACCGGAGCATTCGCTTGCTTCTTCGGTTATCAGAGACTAATCACATACTCCAACTTCTCGTCATACGGGTAACAATACAGAGGCCATCACCCTCTCGGCATTGAGAGTACTATGTTATCAGTAACCGTTGCTGTTGGATATGTATTATTATTCCCAAATATTTGCATTAGGCTCGGTTTATATAGGATTATCATTGTTAATCACTATCATCTTCAAAGTTAAAGTAGCCTGAAGTTCATATTCCAGAGATTTTAAGGAATCGGAATGTAATTTATTGTTCACCACTTCAATTTCGGACAAAAGTATTTTTTACTGATGTACAGAAAATAAGTTGGAAATGATAAGTTATTAGAATATTCACAAAAAATTGACAGCTAACAATTATAGCGTTGTCATTATCTGTATCATGGTTAATATATTATTGTTACCAGTACGGTAGAAAATGCAATTTATTGATATAAATTCTTAAACAAGATAAAATTTTCAAGAGAGTGGATTCATATACTTCGAACTTTGCTAAATGTTTTCTGTTACTTTTGCAGTGTAATAAAAGGGAAGTGACAAAAAAATTACAACTACAATATCAGACTTACTCCGCTAATCACGAACTCCATGTATTAGATATGAATAACATTCATAACTCAGTGGACACAGGTTAGTCATTTTTGAAATTTGTCGAAAATCTATAATACGACAAAATATTTTCTCACTAATAAAATAATTAAAATGTCAATAATTATGCAAAAATCGAAAGCATTTATTCTATAATTCTCATCTTTAATGATTACTTTCAAAAACTTCAATAAAAATTTAATATAGCAAAAGTTTCCAAGCTTACCTTCTTTTTTATGCTTGCCTTTCCTTTATATCATTTAACAGTGTGAACGTGAAAAAAAAACATTATAGCAGGGGATACAAATAACAGATTCCGGTTTAGACTTGGATTTCTTCAAGTCCACAGGGTGTGGTCAATGAACCATTTTAAGGACCCATTTTTCCAGATGTCTGAGCTAAAGCTGCATGGCCATGTTTTGGACATGTAGGGTTTTAACACTACATGTGTTGTTGTTTCAGAAAAATAGTGAGTATAAGGTTCAGTTCTTTTTTCTGTCTGATGTAATTGAGTGGTCTAGAGGAGAAATAGAATTTAAAAAATGAAAAAAAGTTGAAAATATTGGAAAAGAGTAGAGAGTAGAAAATAAATGTAAAGCAGAAAGAAAACGGGTTGGAAAAAAGGTAGATTAAAAATAAGAGATGAAAAATAAATAAATATATAAAAACAAAAGATAAATGAAAGATCAAAAATGCTATGCACTATCAACTAAATCAAACATAACTGATTTTGAAAATGCGTTTCTGCTTTTTTGTGTTTTGTATTTCATATTGTACTGTATTCTATATATTTTATTGTTGCTTTTTAATGTGACTTTTTTTTGTTGTTTCATTTTTCTAGTTGCTATCTTCTGAATCATCACAAGAAAGTCCCAAATAATGACCCAGACGAATCGCTTGCTTTTTAGGACTTCTCTGGACTGCAATGCAAGATGCACTTTGGTGTATCAGCTTGCTGGATGCAAATCTATACAAATACCAAATATGCAAATACCTAGAGTGGACTTGATTTGCAAGCGAACAGTAATTTTTAAAAACTTATATAATTGGGAGGTTTTAGCGAACTCTCTTAGCAAACACAAGCATCCACCACAAACGAGAAAGGTAAATGGGTGGACTGTTATTGGACTAGTGGACGATGGCGTAGAAAGATGGCTCTATGTCTCTGTACGAAATCTACGCCAGCCTCACCCAGTTAATCGAAAACTCGAGCACACACGTATAAATAGTAAAGTAACAAATTCAGACAGATGGCACAAAACTGTTGAATGATGCATTGAATCTCTGGGCACAATGAGAAGCTGACATTCTAAATTCTAATCAAATGTAGTCGCTGCATTATTTTCTCTCTCTGGAGCTGATTTAGACGTTTTGCTGAACAAAAAGTTGCATGAATTATTAATTTCTTGACTTCTAGATATCTGGGATGTTTATTAAGCTTTTAATTTTTTTGCTGCTTATTCCTTTTTTTTTGGCATTGCTGAGAGAGCAGAAAAGTATGTAAAAAATACTTTGTAAACAATAGTGAAGTCCTTGCAATTAAATAGTGTATCTCGAAGTTTGCTCCATCAATCAATGAGTTGAACTAGGGCAGCATTTGAGAGCAGGTCTGTGTAGAAATAACGTTAATGTTAAGATGTATTCATCGCATGTACGTGAGCATATGCTTTCCTGAACTTTACTCAATTAGATATAACAGACGAACGCGGTTTGAATTACTTCAAACTGTGTTATGCAATGTGTATTTTGATTAGCTAATAGTAATCATAATTAGAAAGACATAAGTTACAAATTTATGAATGAAATCGGTGCAGATATTCAATGCGAAAATTTCTTTACAGTGAATCTGTTAGATGAAACAGGTTCGATAAAGCACTACAAATTATTTTTCAGTTGATTACGTAATTTCACTGCTTGGAAATATTTTATATGCTTTGATAATTTAGTATGCTAATACACTGCATATTTATTGTGTGTAATATTTTTTAACGCACAAAATGCAGTTGATTGTTAATTAGTACAAACATATGACATGATATTACAACTGACTTCTTAGTTATCATTTACAACCTTCAAATCAAATTTGCAAAATTACGTCAAATTCGCATGCATCAGTTTTTAGTTTAGTCAAAATAAACGAAATTTTTTTACAGTGACAATTTATTAACCTTTTGCCTTCAAAATTTCAAGTATTTATTTTATTTACGAACATTTACCTTAAAGGATCCTTTGTTCCTATGAGATTACGATCTCCAGAAAGAATGAGTTTATGGCTGACACATTAATTTATTTCGTACACTAATGGTAGAAGAACGCTAATGCGTTAAAATTTCTTGTTGATTGTATGTATCCTATCGCCTTCAATCTTTTGAAGTCACTGATTTTGACAGAAGTACTCATGAATATTGACATGGCTTATTTGCTTATTCTGCCACAGTTACGCAATGAACAGATCATAATATCATTTTTGACTAGAGGACGTTTAGGTTGCTTAAATAAGAATAACTGCACAATTTTTTTCGCTTCTGTCATCGTAAATGCGTTATCTGAAAACCATCCAACAAGACCAGAAGCTAATTCCAAATACACAAGTGGTGCTATTTTATCAGCGTTTACTTCGATCTCATACAATACATCACTTTTTATGTTTACTTCCCGAATGTGTGCGATTCCAAAGTTCAGTTCATCCATCTAAAACGTAAGCAATTTGAATCAAATTCTTCCATAAATAGAAATATAAATGTTCTTACCACAAAAAGTTCATTGGACAAATGAATAGCGTCATAACCAATCTGAGTACCATCACTTGACAGGATTTTTGCACGCAGCACATGTTTGTTGTTCAACTCAGCGCTTCTATAAAAACAAATCATATGGAATATTTCAACTAGCATGAAATCTAGGTGAAGTCATAGGTGAGCTACATTTTATAAAGTAATTTTAGTAAAAGTCATGAGTTCCATAAGCATAATTGAAACATATACAAGTAATCAGTGCCAGAAAATGCGAGTATTCAAAGAATATTTTTTTTCTTTCAAAGAAATAATAAGCAATACAAGAAATTAAAATTATATGTAATAAAATAATTATGAAAAAAAGAAAAACTTTATTTGGAGGATTGATCCACCGATAGAAATTTCAGTGGATGATTGTGGAGGAATCAGACTGATGTTATGATGTGAAAAATGAATTGGTTTGAAGCTATCACAACAAGCATAGATTTCCAAAATCACTGTTACATCAGATATGGAGTGTATAAGATCTGAGATAAGAAAGAGATGAATATCATCGTTCTTTACCTGAAGTTTTTCCAAATTCATTATACTCATTTTGCCTACAATGACTTATGCATGACTACACATAACTCAAATACATAGGTGCTTCAAATCTGATTGTCAGTTGTCATCAGAAAGCAAAGCGATATGTTTTTAGTTGTGCATGTAATATTAGTGCAAAATTCATATTAAATTACAGAAACCTACTAACAATGGAAAGTATGACAGGTGCGAAGAATCGACGAGCAAAGTACTGCACAGGTTTCCATGATAATTCGTAGTCAATACTTGACCATGTTGGAGCTGCCCACAGATCATTTAACTGCCAATATAAGGCACACATTGTGTGCCCACGTCCATCTTTAGTCAAATGTCCACTCCATCTAAATATTGCTTCTCTAAATCTTATTGTATACATTCTCAAAAAACTACTGCGTCTTCCTTTATACGGCAATCAAACTATCTTTATTAAGTTTTTAACCAAGTATTTTATTAGACTGAATAAAATCTAAAAGTGTCATAAGATATGATGGATGTAGTCTTTTACCTGCGATAATGTTCAGTTTGTATCTGATAAGCAATGGCTTGGTGAAACTGAGATAAGTAAACGAAGCGATCCATAAAAGTGCTAGTTTTAAAATATTCACACGAAACGCTTACTTTATTCTCACACTCATTTGGAATCTATAACAAAATAATTTAGCTTTGAGAGCTACTTATGAAATCAGTTTTAATCAGCTTCTGCAAATATTAATTCGACCTTTGCACGAAAATATTTCTCACTGACAATTAATTAAAAACAAGTCTATTACAAGTTTGTAGCCAGAAAAAAATCCATAGAATGCTTTATTTCAACCCAAAGTCCTTCAAGCAATTCTTGAACTTTCTTTAAATTATGAGCAAGGCGTCATAACAATGAACTAACAATTTCCTTTCATAATTTTTAACTGTTACCATAAAATGCTATGATGGCTTATTTGTGCTGAATTGAAGGATCAAAAAATTTTCGAAGAAAATTACTCTGAAGTGAGCGAAAATCATCAATAGCTGAGCAATGAATCCACCGGGGTGATGTTGCCTTCGTTGCATTCCTTTGCTCGTATACGACCAGTCACTTTCATTCAACCATTTCAGCATTGTTTCTCTATTAAACATTTAGGCAATAAAGTTTATTCCAGTCTAAAATTCTTCACCCAAACAATTGCAACACATCTAGTTGATCAAGAATTTTGCAATTTATAAGTAGAAAATTTTCAACATCTCTTTTATCGCTTTGACAAGCTTTGAGTTTCAACTCTTAATAAATATTGAACAAGAAATGAACATTACTTTAAAATAGGTGTTCTCTTTTACGTTTATGAAAGAATGACACTCTTACTTCCTTGGAAATGACTGCACACCATATTCTGAAGAACAACGCGGGATCTGATAAGTGGAATCTTTCCAGAGGTCAAATATCTCAGTATAAAAATGAATATCACCATATTTCTCATCAGAAGGGTTTAACGCAACACCACCCTCTCTAAATAACTGCTTCAAAATTTATTAATTCCCAAATAACTTGTAATTTTGCTCTAATTCGAAGTTTTAAACGTCATCCTTCTGCGCCTATATTTGTAATTGATAATAATAAAATAATGTTTAAGAACTATCGCATGATACTGCAGAATAACAATAAAAATGAAGCTGAGAATTACTTTTCGGATTCAAGTCCATTTGTGGGACTTGATAGTATATACGGTCTGCTATCATCCAGTCTAGCTATGATGGATCGTATTGTTTCATTGTATAATTTCATGTAGTCTGATACCTATTTGTAATGTCAATTTGTTGGTATTAAAATGAAAAGAGTCTAAGGAAGACTATTTTCTTCGCTTTTTACACTTTTTTCATATCTTTAAGTATCAAATTTTCGTAGAAGATGTGCATGTGGTGATGGCCATAAAAATGTAATAGCATTTTTTCAAAAAAGTTTCAAGAGTGATCTGATTAATTATCCTTTTTAAGACAAATTGTTTGTATATAAAAGCAGCGGACTTATCTCACAAAACAAAATACAGTGATAAAAAGAAGTGGATAAGGCCAATTTTTAATGACTGAAAATATTAAAGAGAAATTGGAATGCTTCATTTCTTTTTTCAACATCTTCATGGACGTATCATACTTGTGTTTTTTTTTTAACCATAAAAATAGGCATAATATATTTATAAGTGATAATTTTGTAACAAAACTTACGGACTGAGTTAAGGTATAATTTCTGGCTGCAAACCATTGACGTACACCAAGTTCGTTTTCATTATTGCCAGACCAAATGAAAATAGATGGGTGATGTCGAAGACGTTCTATCTAAAAGTGTTAAGCTCTTCTTATTTCTTAAGACCATGATATAAATGTGAAAAACGACCTGGAAGTATATTTCGTCTTGGACATTATATAAATATTCCTTATCAACAGGATATAAAGCACAAGCAAACATCATATCTTGCCAAATTAATATCCCCTGAAAGTGTTGAAGTGAATAAATTGCAAAACTTTTAATTGTATGATAATGTATTGAATGATTACAGTTAGAAACTGTAGAAGTAAATACAGACTAAAAATTCATCGGTGAGGTAATGAAAGGAAACAAAAACATTGTTATTTTTTATTTACAACTTTTCATCTTACCAGTTCATCAGCCAAATCGTAGAAGTAATCACTTTCATAACGACCACCACCCCATACACGTAATACATTCATATTTGATGCATGAGCTGATTTAAGTAGAAATTCCTGCCTGAACCGGTGATTTCGAGCCGGAAATGCAGATGACGGTATCCAATTTGAACCTAATATTCAGTTTAAAAAAAATTATCCCAATTTATCAGAATCTATATAATTTTCAAGTTTTCATTGCAAATCTACATAAATTCTCGAATTCTGTCAGATAATTACATTGATATGAGTCTTCATCTAATCCATGAATTTCATGTAAAAACTGAGAGGAGTTAAGAATTTAAGACAACCTTTTAGAAATATAGGACGATCATTGATTTTGAAGTAGAATTCTCGTCCAAGCTCAGGCTTTTCATTATCAACATAATTTTGTATCAGTTCCACTGTTCGAAAACCAATTCGTATTGTTTTATTATACATTTCCTCTAGAACAAGAAATTTCGCATAAATTCCACAAGCATAAACAGCAAAAGACAGTAAACTACCTACTAAATCAGTATAAGCTATGATTAAAATCCGATAACTTATCAGATTGCCTTTATCATTAAATGTTACCAATTCATAAACATTTTTATAAACAAAAAATTGAGATACGGTAAGTAAATATTTAACCAAATAAAATTACTCTGCCTCCTACCAAATCTTCCAGAAATTAAAGTAGCATCATTATTACATTTTCCAAGGTCTTTTTTTTTTTGAAAAGTATTACTGCAATAAATTATTGGAAACCTTTGCAAATTATAGTTGCAGTCAAATTGTACAACTTTTGTTTACCGCTTCCACTGGGCCACCATCGCTCAATAAGATTGTCAGGTACTATAACTTTTCTTTTTACAGTATTTCGTTGCATTGAAATGAATGAAACTTGGAACTGTTCACTGATGGAAATATCAGAAATTGATATAATCACTTCAACATTGCTTGTTTTCATTGCACTCCATACTGTGATTTCAACCAGAACGATAAAATTTGGCTCTGTAACATTTTTATATATTAAAAATTTGCTGCAAACAATAATTATCAAACAACTTTTAAATTAATATTGAAGTTTTTGAAAATAAGCTTTAAACAAAATAAATTCAAAGGTTCTAGTAAATCAAAAATATTGGATTGGGGAGTTTGGAGTTAAGATTAATGAAGTTCGAGTAAAGCAGAAAAAATTTGTTAATAGAGATAAGAAAAAATAAATTGCTGTGTTCATAGGTGGAAGCATAATTTTAATAGAAAATTAAGGTAAAATAACCTAACAAAGCAAATATATTAAACTTTTGTACTAATGAAGACGATTTGGCATTTGTTATTAAATAATTAGTGCAGAAAAAATTACTTTGATATGAAACAAGGGTCGATATTTTTTGCAAGAATACTGTTTGTACTCCTTCTACAGTGATAGGTTGCCAGATTCCAACTGTCGGTAACGACGGTCCCCAGTCCCAGCCAAAACTTGCTTGAATCTTTCTAAAAAAAAATAGCTGAAGTTAATCAACCTTTACAACTCAAAAATAACAAAAATAACAGAAATGTTACGAAAACACTTTTTATGTAAGCATTACTACTGTCTAATAAACAATAAATAATCATTCGAAGTACAATTTTCAATCTCTTTTTATTATTTTGGGGTAAATATTGATTTAAATTGCAGACAAAATAAAAAGTGAAAACATACCTAATGAAGTTGACATGGCATTCACCTCTGAATTCGTAGACAGGGCATTCTGGTGGGAGGACATGGCCAAACAGTTTCTATAAATGTTGTTTCAAACATAAGTGAAAGCAAAAACCTAAATATTTTTGGGTAAATGCGATCGAATAACCGTAGAAGCAATAGTAATTAATTAAAAATAAGAAGGAAACTGCTAAAGTGGAGGAACATATTTCAATTCCGTCATCAAAAGTTAGTATGCAAAGTTTTTCTTATGCTGAACAAAGAAGTTTTGACATTTTTGAGTTTTCATTAAAATTAAAAAAAATTAATGTGGTTAAAATTGAGAAATTTAAAATTTTGTTTATGGTGGTGATGTAAATGAAATTTATGCTTGAAAAAGCACATCAATTAGATAATCATTGTTATCTTTGTAAATAACATTTCAATATTTAAAATAGTTTGATTTATTTTTCGGAAAGCTTCCTGAAAGTCCATACAAAGACTTTTAAGATATTTGGATACAATTAATGTTTATATATGATTTTCACAACAGAAATTTTTGCCTTTAACCAAATATTAGTAATCTAATGCATAAAATACACGAAACCCAGAAGATATTTGAAAAAATCAAACCTGGTAACTATCAGACCTTTGTTTTGCATAATTAATGGGCGATTCAAAACGAATGACCAAATTATTCTTTCCAATTTTCCAATTTTTTAAAACTACAGTATATAACAGGAATTGATTGTTTGCTTTCAAGATTAGTTCATCATTGAAGAATACATCTGCTATGGTATCTAGTCCATAAACATTCAATAATACAATTTTTACCTAAATTTGCAAGTAATTTTCTTATTTTATTTGAATGAAATTAGTTCAGAAAACTTGTTTCATTCTAAATAACGAGTCAAAATATCTTGTCAGAAAACTTTGTGTATCAATCAATTGTGCACTTACTTAGTCTTGACTGGTTATTAAGATTCTAATTAATTTTGAAATGATGAATTTTTTGATTAGCCGTTGTATAATGTATTTAGTGATGATGAATACATATCTCAAGATTTTCAACTCGCAAGCTTAGATAAATGTCAAAAATTAATACATTGCAAAAAGATCATTTGCTCTGAATAAAGATCCAGTCGCAAAAAGGCATTACGTAATGAATATATATATGTAGTTCAGACCTTAGTCCAATTTTTTGTAATATCAAAAGTAGTGTAATACGTCCAATCTGTTCGTGGCACCCAACGAAGTGAATAATCATTTGCTCCGAATAACGGTTCAGTAATGTAATTAAGATGAAGTAAATCTTTGTAGATATCTCCGGGAACTTCAGCTTTTCCTTTAATACTGCTATTAGCTGACTGGAAGTACCACTGGAAATGCTCTAAATGGAAAATGTTTGTATGATTTGTCATTCCTTGTATAGCTTTGAGCTTGGTCGTCGACAGTACAAACAGCACAGATAATACTCCAAGACAAATGCGCTTTGACATCACTTCCACTTCGGTAAAATCTTTTATAGTACTATAAAAATTGGAGTGATAGGGCGGAAGACTAAAAATCTTAACTGAACTGTCAGCGCAAATTCACATCAGTTACGATGAAAAATTAAAATAATTGAATTAGAACAATCTTTTTACAGAAAAAGCTAGTCTTTCTCTTTGCTCTTGATGATGAACACTCACTTACTTAGTTTTAGCAGTGCAGTAAAGAATTCTATCGTGCTTTTATGACAGATCAACAACAGCTGTCAAGAAAAACGTCTGTATCAATAACTAACTATAAAGTGCTCAGCAAATAAAAGCGCTCATATAAACGTAGAACGTAGAAATGTAATCCTTAATTTAAATATTAGCAGGAGGTTGGAATTCGTTTTGTAAAAAGCAATAAATTGGCTTACATCTGAAAAATGAATATTAGGAGGGGAAAGTCTAGCTTTTGGTGCTTTCTTTGAAGAACTTGTAGCAGCACTTCGGTATGACACTTTCAAATAACTTCAACATGACTGTTTGAAAAAAAGTCCTACACACTGATGACTTGCCAATATTTGGGCAGTGTTGTTCAAATAAACAAACAAAACATGAAGAAGCATCGTTGGGAGGCATTATTCATCCTTCACTACAGTCTATTCTCTTCACACAATAATGTGCTAGGAATGCTCTCGCTCATTTTCATTTTTTTTAGATTCCTTATTACTGCAGCGTTTACTTGCAATATATTATTTCAGAAACAGTTGCGACTGTGATCTCTGTAATTTGTCCACATATAACAATTGCAACAATTCTTTCTGATTAATGTTGTTTATTGTTATTGCAACTAACTCCCCTATGCAATGAAAGATTTGTTCCTGCAGTACACTAGTTTAGATTATTCTTGAACTCATCGCAAGCAAAAGCATTCTGCAAAAAAAGTCACAGTAACTGAAGCTTTACTTCACACTGTACCAATTCTCTAACATATACTCTACCTAAAAGCATGAAAAAAAGAATGCTTGCAATTCTGGACAGCAAGCAACACCACGCATTACATATAACTCCTCATGACAGTTTTTTCTGTTTATTGAGCACACCATAATAATGCAAATAAAGTTGTAGAGAAATGCAATAATGAGGGATCAGTTTAGTAAATGATCCATATTTTAGCAGAAATCTTCGATCGCTTTCACAGTTAATGCAACTGTGCAGTAATGGCACTGCAAAAAGAAAAAGTCAGTACTAATTCCGATGAAGGAGCCTATTTGGAACTTCTTGTTTAGTATACAATGAAAAGATGAGATGTTGCTAACCTTACAAAAATGATCATTCATAATAAAGAACATGCCTTATGAACTAAATGAAAAATCAGAAAGAACGAACAAAAAAAGTAGAACCACAAATATTCAGTAAACGCAAAAAAAAATTGTTTTACTTTAAGTCTTAACTTTGCATAAATTCCAGTTTGTTGCAAATTAAATAATAAACCTAATGAAAATAACTGCAACACTGGACCAATTCAAATCCCACCATTAATTACAGCTTTGCATTGATGGCAATAATAAAGCTGCTGCTTGCTCTAATTATGTATAGCGTAAATAACTTTTTGCTAAAATAAGGAAAAAAGCTACAATAAATGCATTAACGATGCCGAAGCAATTTTATGATTCTTCGCGAAACATTGCTGTTACTACTCCAACATACGCAGCTGTCAAACACACCGCGTGTCCTTACATACTCTTGGAAAGTTGGCATATCGCCACCAACACCAAAATAATACATCTTTGCTGCCAAAAATCTCAAATTAACAAGTTCACTGAGCTAGATGAAAAGTTTCTAAAACAAAATATAGAAATTATACTGGAAAAAAATTTTTCACTTCAGAATTTCAATAGTGCAAAAAATAAGTTTACATAATAAAACAATTAAGGGATATACCTACATAATTCCATCAGTAGAAAGAGCAGCATCAAATAAATCATGCAAATCTCCATAATATTGCTTGTTGTAGATAGTCTCGGACGTTAAAATAATATCAAACCTAGAATAAAAATTTTTTTAGAATAAAAAGTTTTCATAATGTATACAAGTGTATGCTTTTATATATAGCTAGAAGCATGCATTAATATACAATATTCACAATTACACACGAAAGGTTTTTGGAAGTTATAGAATCAGATGAAATCTGAATCTTCACAAATTATTTTATAAAATAACGACATGGAACTAGCCCCGAAGAGCACAACAGATTTTATTTTATAAAAATGGATTAAATAAAAGAGCAAATGGCCATAGTTTACGTTCATTTTTGACTCACCTTCCGCTACAGACTCAACTTTTATTGAAGCTGAATTTAATTCTTAGAGACAAAAATTAATACTTTTGTGTTGAAAGAAGAAATATGTGCATACTTCTCATTGGATATTTTTCCTCGTAAAGTGGTCCAATCACAAGCATAAAATCGGCACCGCTCAAGACATAAGTTATTGGCTTTAAAGTTGTCTCTTGTAAAACAGTTGATGACAACTTCATTCTGTAAAACATGAAATAATTAAAAGTTTTGTACACTAGAAAGCTATTCATACGATTATGTTGACCCACTTTGAGGACTCACATAGTCTTGTAATGCAACTTCCCTCGCACCTTTATATAACAGCAGCATTGATGGCAACCCCGCACCACAACCCACCTGAAGTATTATTAAATGATTACATAAAATTTCAAAAACATTAATACTCAAAATGGTGACAATGGGACAAAATTTTTCAAACCACCTCGAGAACTTTTTTATCTTTGAAAATCTGTGGTTCCAAAAGGTCTATGTATTCACATAAATCAATAGAACATTCCCAAACTTTAAATCCTCCTGAAAACACGTGTTATACTGATAATGCTATCTTCACAATAACAAAAACAACAGGATGGGAGAGCAAGCAAAAAATTACATGTTAAGAATAATTTAAAACTCATTAACAAGTTCACTGTCATTGTAAAATCAAGCGGATGCCACAGGTTATTGTTAACTACGACTTATGAGTCTTACATATTTCAATGCAGAGACTAGAAAAAAAAACTACACAAAAATACAGGTGTTAAATTCTTTACTTCCTCCCAGCGTAATACAATAATGAGATGACAAAAAATTACATATCCTAGAAAACCTTCATAAATGCCTGGAGTGAGATCCGACTGAGTGATAAATTGCAAAGACGAATCACGTTGATACCCTCGTTCCAATACATTTGTCAATACTCCTGTTTGATTGATATAACACAAATGATGTCCAGATGACAACTTAACATCTACTATATTCCTGCCATTACTGATACATTCATCCATCTCACTGCTAAAAAAATAGATCAGTCAAGGATTGAAAAACTACCAAAATACCAAGATACATCATTCATCCAGTTCATACAAATATTATATGGTGCAGGCCCTTAATTCATATTGAATTAAACCTCATCCAGCACTGATAACTTAACATTGAACTTTACTACATGTTACAACATCACTTTCTTATCCCAATTCCTATCAAAAAATGCAAATACAACTCATATCTAACTCGAAGCATACCATGACCACTTAAGATACACACGATTCTTAGGACAGTTATTTGAAATTGTCATTCAAAGCCAATCTCTGTAACGCGATAAAGGGCTAACAATCTTGTCTAAAACTTGTGATTACAAAGTGAATGCAACAGAAATATGTGAGGCATAAAATTTTTACGCATTGTTACAAGCATGTAGCAGTCTTAATATGAGTAACGCCTTGACATATTTGATTACAATCAGCAACTACAGGCCTTGAAATGAATGCAGTTTTGAAGTATCACAAACTAAATATCAGAAAATTATCATTGTTTTGGCACCGAACATAGAAAAAGTGAGCAAAAAAAGGTTCCATCACAATAAAGATATCAACATAATCACCAAAAATATGAAAGAAATATAATTGTGGCTGAAATAAATAAAATTTTACAAGAAAAAAACCACCGGAAACACTGTAAATGTAATGTTGTAATTATTTGCGAGTAACTAAATGTACTCGCAAATAATTACAACATTACATAACACAGGCCAGGTCAAGAAAAATCGTAACGAAGGTAGAAAAACATTATTCTGGTAATATAAGCGAGTCATGAACGGTAAAGATTTGAAGTTTGAAGCACAAACAAACAATCCATTTTCATTAATGAGCGCTTCACTGCTGTAAATCATAATAGATAAAAAATTAGTAACTACTATGAAAGAAAACAAATATAAATAAAGAACTGAATACATCCACTAAAATCAAAAAGGTAGTACAGTTTAAAAAAAACTGATACAGGTATGAGAGCACAAGACAAATTGAGTAAGAAATGTTGAAACATGCTTTAACAGTAATTATAAATAGTATACTCATTTATCATTCCATAGTACCTCATTGAAAGTTATCATTCCATAGTACCTCATTGAAAGTACTATGGAATGATAAAATCTTCAATCTCTTTCATCACAGAACTTGGATATATTTTTTTAAACTATCAATCACGAAACTCCTTGTTTGTTGAATCTTTTACTTTTTCTCATAATATTAATGTAATAAAATTGTAAAATGAACAAATGCGGCAAATTTTCACAATATCAGTTCGATTGATGAGTGCTGTAATCACTGTTCTATATTTTTTATACTGGAGAGTCCAATTCAAAGAAGTCAATACGTACTTGGTGTAAATATGTACATTAGTTTATTACAACCAGTATGCTAAGACCCATTCATCAAATCTGATAATTATCTTGAATATGGATAACAAATACCAAATAAACAAAGATTCTATCGGGAAGTTAGACTTGCAGCAGTAGAGATTAGACCCTGTACGGTACCTTCTACCCAACCATGGTTTCGTTGTTCTTCTTTAGCCACCACAGCATTCAACTGTTCACGAGTGAATCTTGCTACAGTGCCAATTACTCGAGCTAATGTCTACAACAAGCATCGCATATATTTTTATTTTGCCAAAAAGCTAAAGACGGAAAAAGTGATACCATTCTCTAGTTCTAAACTGAAAAATCTGAATCTAAAACTTGACCAAAATATAAAATATATGACCTATTATTAAAAAATTACATAGTATAAATGTTGAAATGATCATCTGGACGTTCAGAAATACTACATTACATTTAACTAATTAAATATAAAACAAATAAAAGTTCAAGACAATAAATGAAAGGTCTTTTCATTACAAAAAGAGAAACAACTCACAACGCTCTCTCTACCCAGTGTTTCTCGTTCGTGCATATATCGATATAACACATTTCGTAAGTACTGTAATCAATACAATTTCATACATAGTCCAAATCTTACAAATAACTAGACTAAAAGAGATTGAAAATAATTTAACCTATAATACAGTGGGCAAGGGCAAAAGCAACACCGACAATAGAATCCGAAATATGCATTATCAACATGGATTACTAATTAAATCCGTTTCATATTTGCTACAATTATTCCAGTGAACTCAAAGTCGTACTAAATTATACTTTAAAGACAAATAAGTTAAACCTCAGCCTCGGTAGGTTCTGCTAAGGACGAATTGCTGTCATTCAAATCTTGTTTTCCTTTCTGCAACATTCTTTCGTTTAAAAGTAATGCAAGTGAACCCATGAAATGCAAGTTATCAGGTAACAAAAATGCAAATCATATTAAAAAAAATTTGCACCGGGAGAAAACCATTAGCTAGATAATCTAAGTTGACGTTGTACTGCGCAGTAGCGGATGCTTTTTCACATACCGACTTTAGTTCTTGTCTATAAATAAAAAAGGTTATCAGGAGAATTGGTTTAAAAATAATACTTCTATAATAATAAAACAACCGAAAACTTACTTATGAGCTTCCTCCGCATCTCTCAACTTTTTCTGATACTCGGCAATTTGGCTTCTTAGTGCACACAACTCGTAATCCTACCAACAAACAGCAAAATACTTCGAAATAATATTTGCATAAAAGATGAAAAGAAAATAAAGAAATAAGATATACATAAAGCAAAAATGACAAAGTTACAGATAGGAATGAATCAATTTAAATGATCGATCAATCTAAATGACACAGATTCATGGATAAAAATCAAAGAATTGACTGTAATAAAAACAGATTTAAAAATCTTCATAATCAAACTGATACCGTCAAGCTCTGATAACTAGATCATATAACATACTTTTTGTTCATCTAACTCAAAATCAACACGTAAATCCCTCCATTGCTCATTTGTTTCCTGATCAGTATTTTTACATGCTGATCCATTATTTTCATCTGGTGTGGCTGACAGTTCCTGAAATACACCGATGATAAAATCGACGAGAATATCAAGTACGATGCTCAGTAACAGAAATATTAAGTATGACGCTCAGTAACAACAGAAATATGTCACTTCCGATAATTATTGATCATATTATTTATGATTTTTTGCTTATATATATATGAATAAAATAAAATAAACCAATTGACAACTTATAATCAGTAGATTACTTGCAACTTAGATTGTGCCTCATCAAGTTGTCGTGTCCGTTCATTTAAATCACGATAGAGTTGATTAATTTCCCTTTGCAAATCACGCAATAAGCGCTGACGATCTAATTCAACTTTATCTATAAATAATATTTTAAACCACAAAACGAAAATGATAGACATGAATGGGAGAATTTGATAGACAAATAAAACATGACAAAATAAATTTGATAGAAAAATATACATGAAGTAATCAAATCAAATCAATATCACACGGAGCTTATTTGATTTGATTGTCATGTACAGCAAGTCGGTAGTTAATCTTTTTCCACCTTCTTGATTTTCGCGTTAGGTCCTGCTTCCTCACTCTTACTATACTCATCCGGTACTCAGTTCTGCTGGTTCCTGTGCACTGGTCGGGTGCTTTCTTCAACAAACCAGTTTTTCATCTGTTTTCACTTATGATTCCAGGTTCGTTTTTTTTCATTGTTTTATCGCTTTCCTGCTTTGTAATGTGATCGAATAGCTGGCAGCTCAACAGCTCATTAACTCGACAAAGCCAACCATTATATATATATATATATATATATA